ATCCTTTCCGAACTAAGCGACAAACGATTCATGATGTGTTTGATACTTGACAAGTAGTTGCACATGAGGGGGAGTGCTGCCCGAGCCTCTAAACCTAAGCAGCATAACGTCTATGGTCCTCATCCAAAACATTTGACTCAGAGTCTTGACTATCGAACAGCTAGAAGATAGCAATAATGGACGCCACTGTGGTTCCAGTTCCTAACTGAAGGTTGTCAGAAGGCCAGCTTTGTCGGACCTCTAAGTATTGGTCAAGCTCAGCGAACAGTTCACTTAACCAACCAAAAACCTGATTTGCCTGCCATTACTTCTATATTGTCTTGCTGTTTAACGATGTTTAGGCGGCTCATTCAACCCTGAATAACCTCTCTGAGTGGTCCCATTATTTGGCATGCGCTTCGCGCCTTCAAAGTGCAAATTGTTGTTGCAGGACCATCAACCATATGGGGACCCCTTGCCCCTTAATAGCTAGAAACTCGAGTTAGTTGATCAATTCACTTACCTTAGCAGCTACATCATCAATGATGGTCTCATATCCATTGCAGTCAGTTTACGTATTGCAGAATCCAGAACTGCCTTCTTGTGTCGACGACATCTATGGCGTCAAAATGGGCTAACGAGCTTGTCTTGTAATCTGACGGCGCAGGTTCGAGCCTGTGTAGGAGAAGGGCGACCCTCGCAGTATCCTTAGTCTACATGCGCCCGCTGGTGGTCGCGCGACAGCTAAGCGTCAGTACTGAGTACCGGCGTTCTGCTACTGCTGATGCCTTTCCCTGGGTCTGAATGTTCGTGTTTACAAGGCCACAATGAGGGCCTTCCTACTATATGGTTATGAAACTTGGCCCCTTCGATCTGAGGATCTCAGGCGCCTACAAATATTTAATGATTCCTGTTTACGGATCATTACTAGTGTCCGGTGGTACCAGCGTTTCGGCAACGAGAATGTGCGTAGGCAAGTGTTAGACAGTGAAAATTTTAGAACAACAGACAGCACTAAATAAGTTGCATTGACTTGGGCACGTACTACTTTATGGCTGGTCACAGCTCACCGAGACCCTTGTTTTGTTTGCCAGATGTAGGTTAGCGCAAGGTTCGAAGTAGACAAAAGTTGACTTAGCAGCGAGAAATGAAGTCACTGATGACCAGACTCGGTGCCGTCGGGTCTGTCTCGCCTTCCAGGCCTGAGTCCACGTGACTCGCCTTATGCTTGTCTCAATACTCTACAGAACATGTCACGATGTCGACACCAATGGCGCGTCTGCTGCCGTCTCCTAGTCGGACTGCCTGTTTAAAGTGTTTTTGGTGCTGACTAATAGCTGATTATGACGTGGAGCGGTGCTGACCGCATAGAAGCTCCCTCACTGATGCCGTCTTATTTTTACACGATAGCCAGTTGTTTGTGACTGTATGTTGTTTACAAGGTGTAGGTGCCTTGACCCCGGATGTTTGTTTTGTGCATTAAGGTTTTCAGGTGTTAACCCCCTCTCTTATTATTCTACCTTTCGTAGGTCGTTATAGTAGTATGGCAGCGGGACGTCAGTTCAAATGGTTGATGTGCTGCTGTTGATGAGTATTATGATGACATCTATTAACCAGTCTGCTAGGAGTGGCTCTCAAGGCTCCCAAGAGCACCATGTTCTTCGCTTAGCAAGTCATAGCATTATGTTAAATTTCGGTCTCATCACGATAGTGCAGCAATCGTTCGCTCCGATCATCCAGTTATACCTTTGGATGAATCCCTAATGCGAATCGTTCGTTATCAACTTGTTAGTCATCGGATCCAGTTCGTTAGCTAGACAATCGATCGAACTTATTTGTTTGTTACAATTACATTCTCCATAAACTGCTACTGAAGCAGCTTTTGTGCCAAAAGCGAAACGTCGTCAGCCCGACAAATACATTAACTGATCGTTTACCCATCGATGTGAAGTGGAATTCTTATTTCGCAAGCAATTATTATTCTGATCATGCCATTTTTGTTTAAACGGATCGCATGACTACCTTTGCCCTTCGGCAAATGAGAATACTAGACTGCAATGGGTAGTTCTCCCGCTTCATATTTCACGAGACTCGTAAATTGACACACCGTGTTCAGATCTATGCACATCTCAAGTGAGCCCAAGGCTTTGGGTTGTGGCATCTCTAAGCGAAGCGGTCAAATGGGCTCCAAAAAGATCGACGTTGTTTCGTAAAACAAGTAATTCGGAAGGGCCTGACAATGTAGATAAACTATTTCTTTGGGGAAATTTTTGCTTTATGTTTTCGACCAATGCTGCATCTTAGGTTGACAAGAGCGTGGAACGGCCCAACTGTTTCATTAGAAATCGTTTTTTTGAAGAGCCAAAACGGTCATCACCCTTCAGTAATTTGATAAACATCTAAGAGGACAAAGGCCAGCAAAATACCACCTGTGCTAGCTCTCAATGTGAGACCGCGTGACTCCCTCCGTCGTCCCTGCACTGGTAAGTCCTGTGACAATTACACCGGTCTTCCAGTATCAGTGCCAAACTCTGGAAAGCGCGTTTGTCACTCGGCGCTCGAGACATTACCGTATTTACCACTCCGCACTAGGTGTTCTAGGATGGAGCTGTGGACATTTCGGGTGGTACTACGTTGTAATGAGGCGGAACCGTGTTCCGCTATTCGATTTGACAGACGTTTGGTCCTGTGTTCGAGGTACCTCGCACCACAGGCGCAAGTGGGGATATAAAACAAACGATTCGGACTGGACCGAAATTCTGTCTTTTAAGCGGTGGGTGATAAGCGTAACGGTTTCGGTGTGGATGCAGACTCTGGCGGAAGGGTATGTTTGGTTTAACGCGGAAATCAATTTCTTACTCATGAGCTCGAACTGCATGTCTCTTTTGGAAGGTACTGAGAGGAAAATGTCCTTTCTCTTCAAAGTCATTTTCGCCTCAGACTCCGTCTGGAGCTGGGTATAGTTGTCGATAAAATCTGTTGGATACCCGTTGCTTTCCAGTGGTTCGATTATGAAATCCTTTTCCGCTTCCAGCGTCTTTTGGCTGCAAATTTTTTTAACCCGGTAGTACAGGTAAGGTACCAAGTTTCGCTTGTACATTTTTGGTACGAAACTGGAAATGCGTGTACTGACCTACCCAGGTCGTCTTCCGGAAAACCTTTCAAGCGATCCATCCTCTCGTCGTCGCAGCAAAACTTCCAAGAAAGGCAGTTTGACGTCCTTCTCATTCTCACAGGTGAATTTCAACGGCGGGTTCGCATTGTTAAATTGATTTGACGGATGAAAATGATCATTTTTTCATACCGAAAACACTGGAAAGCAACGGGTATCCGACTGCTTTCATCAACAACTATACCCAGCTCCGGACGGAGTCTGAGACGAAAATGACCTTGAGGAGAAAGGACATTTTCCTCTCTGTACCTTGCAAAAGAGACATACAGTTCGAGCTCTTGAGTAAGAAATTGACTTCCGCGTTAAAACAAACATATCCTGCCGCCAGAGTCTGCATCCACGCCGAAACCGTTACGCCTATCACCCACCGCTTAACAGACAGAATTTCGGTCCAGTCCGAATCGTTTGTTCTATATCACCACTTGCGTCTGTGGTGCGAGGTACCTCGGACACACGACCAGACATCTGTCATAGTGGATAGCGGAACACTGTCCTGTCTCATTACAACGTGGTATCACCAGGAATGTCCACAGCTCCATCCTAGAACACCTTATAGACAGTGAACATAACATACAAACAGAAGATACTTTCAGAATAGTGTGTGACATCAAAACGATTCGCAAAGGGATTCAGCAAGCACCTGCTAACGACAGAAGCCATCTCGATCAACCGACTCAAGCCGGAACTGTGTAAGCAATTTGTACTTGTGCATTTGTGTGTCGGCCCGTAACATAGTGGTAACGAGCTTGTCTCGTAGTCTTGCGGCGCGGGTTCGAATCCGCGTAGGGGTGGGCGTGCTCGCGGTATACTCAGCCCGTGTGCTACTAGTGGTGGTCGCACGGCAGCGAATCGCCGTTATGGCGTACAGCTGACATTATTATTGGTTTAACTCTACCGTAGCCCTAGCCTAGTCAGCTGACTTCAGGCATAATGGTCAATGGTAGTGGGTTTAAATTGACATCCATTGCCATCATTCCCCCGGTCGCAGCATACACGACGGATCGCCACATCGCTAGCAATAGCTTCTATTCTAATGATTATGAATTTCAGAAATGTAATTGCCTGATGAGCTTTCTCCAAAAGAACTTACTTCGCAGTTTTCCTTCTTTAGATCTGTCGATCTGATGGGCCCAGTTTGTCAACTGCACAGGAGTATCAAACGTACAGATGCATTGTAGGCTTTACACTTCAGGCCACCACATGTGGCGGAGATTAGCAAAAGTGCCTCGAGCTTTTTTGTCATTTCATTTATGACTTGATCTTTTATTCCACGAGCGATAATATGGCTTCCTAGATACTTGAATTTCGGACGATTACTAGCTGGTCGCCACTAAGGGTCAGCGCATGGTTGAATCCCTGCAAATCTTCGTGGACGACTTTACATTTCAAATGTGCAAGGCATAACCCGAAACGACTGATGCGCAGTGCTAGTTGGCACGTTTGGGAGATGTCACCGATAGTGGCGAGGTCGTCAGCGTACTCCATGTCAGAGGCTCCACAATAATATAATAATAATAATGATAATAATAATAATAAAAGTGTGTCAGCTGTACGCCGTAACGGCGCTTCGCTGCCGCGCAACAACCACCAGTCGGGCGCGGGCTGAGTATACCGCGAGGACGCCCACCCCTACGCGTATTCGAACCGGTGACCTTATGGTTGCAAAGCAAACATGCAGACCACTCGGTCACCGGCCGACCAGAAGCTCCACACCTTATAGTCTTGCGGCGACAATCTTTTCTCCACTTACTGCTGTCTTACAAAACGGTCGTATCACTTACACCACTCGCCTGCACTCTTTCCGTACCATCTTGTTTACCTCTTTTATTCTGATTTCACTTTATTCTAGCCTCTATGAAATGGATTATCCTTGTTCTTGGAGACCATATGAACACGTCACCAGACAAACACGTATCCATTTCACAGATGGAATTGTTTGCTTCTTCAGTCAGAACTGCAGATGGCTTCTGCAAGATGGATTTTACCTTAATGGATACCCGGAAGCTGTTGTTTGATTGTGGCTTACGTCTTCCCAGAGCAGAAGATCGTCTTCGCGCCACGACAAATTTAGTATCGGAACCACCACCTGCTCCTTCGCTTACCCAACCATCGTCTGTTAGAATAGAGCACCTCCCAGGAACTGGTGTTGGGGAAGTTCACGAGCAACCAAATTCGGTCTCCCAGCACAAGACGGATGGAGGTTTGCTCACCAATGTCTTGAACACATTGTCTTCCGCTGGAATGCATCTATTCGGACACTCGATTCCTTCGAGTAGGATGCTGACAGAAGCTACTCCTAACAAAGAAAATGGCAAACAGGATAATCAACTTCCAGTACGTTGTGTTCTTTTGGTGTCTATCGGTAGCGTGTTTTATCCTTTTTGGCTTCCTTTCATCTTTCGCCCGGATGATATCGAATGCCCACGTTCTTGCAACGCTTTGCTAAGCGGAGTCGTACGGCTTAGGTCTGCAGGCGACCAGATAGCACCAGCTCTTGGAACGGGTCATTACCATGGTGCACATTTTCCGACTCTTTTACTTACGATCTCCTTTCGTTTGTTATTGGTGTCCTCGCCTATTGCCTCAAAAGACAGATTCTGTCTGAATAGAGCTTCTAGCTGCTTTTAGAGGCGTTTGTATCAGGCTTTTATCTGGTTTGACTGTTTGAATGTTTTTTCACCCATGGAACAACAAAAGCACCACTTGGCATAACTCGAGCGTTATGGAAGTAAAAGGAAAATTGACATGCAGAACACAACACAAGCAAATCTAGCGGATCCCTGTGGCTTTGAGTACTAGCATGAAGCCTGAACCAGCGCCACCGACGCATTGATAGACTGTCCAATCACAGATATAGCCGATGTCGAAGTCCCCACCACGGCGATAGCATGCACTGGACTGGTCAAATTTCTCGGCCAATTTCCACATGTCCTTATACCATGTAATCATCGACTACCCTGAAGCTTAACATGACTGTGCGGCAGCCGCAGCAAACGCATTGACCAGTTGGTTCGCATACGATCAAGTTAATTTAGCTGATTTATTTAGTTCATCGCGGTTACCTTACAAGCCAGGTGGGTCAGCTGTTAATCCGGATTTGCACCAGACAGCCGTTTCGTCCTGTTGGGACACATCAGTAGTGCGCATTTCCTCGGTCTACTTTAGGTAACCAAATCTATGACTGTTAGAAGCTTGCACCACTATCCAGCAGCTTATGCCGCTGAGCCATAGAGGACGAAAGCTGACCATCGTGGATTGGGCTTTAAATGTGATAAAGCCCAACCGAGAGAATGCACACCGACGAAAAATCAGGAAAATAAAAGAAAAAGGGGACGTAGAAAAAACGCTAGCCAGACGAGGGAGGACTAGGATCAAGGTCGAATGAGCCAGATATGTGACGGTGCCACTGCATGATCATGCCTGAAGAAACGTGCGTCGAACCTTCCTTGAATAATATTTCACTGGGCTCTGATCATCGGTGCCGAGCACGATGTGAAATACCAACTCAACGGTGTATCGGTGGTTTCTCATGCTATTTTCCCACGTCATCAGTTGCTCCCCTAAAGGTTTTACTGAGCTAGGTTCATCGCTGGCAACTTTAACACGCCGAATTAGACGGTCGACAAGCAATTGAAAAGTGTAACCCAACTAACGATGACGACTTCACTCTAAAAGCGATCCAGCGGCAGATCAGTCGGTTGCTTGATGAAGCGAACATAGCGGATCTCAAAATTAGGCGTTCTGCGATCACAGAGTATATGGCAAATACTTCCCCGAAACTAACGCTCAAACACGGTCCACAATTTTCGAAATCCAGTACACAGTGACCACATCTTTGATTCCTACAAGAACTCTGTTATGCGGCCTTACGCGCAAGAACAACTGTCGAGCTTCAGTTAAAATTCATTAATCCCAAAATACATCTGATTGTGACACCCCCTGGTTAGCGCGCTTCGCTACTCTTTCTCCACTTTGTTTGTTACTGCTTCGGGAGCCAGCTGTTATTCATCGAATGCTGTTTGCCCAAGAACATTCCTCCTTGAGCTGGAAGTGAATGTGCAACATAAATCTCACCTTCAGAAAATCACTTGACGATAGCCCATTCCCATACACTTGTGGTTAAGTAATTGCACAATTAACTGGCTCTCTGTTAACTGGTGATACTCAGCTATCGTCTCCATTGCTCAGCGACATAAGCTGCTGACTAGTAGTGCAAGCCACTATCGATCATGGGTTCGATTCCCTGAAGGAAGCCGAGGGAATGCGCGCCACTGACGAACCCCAAGAGGACGAAACGGCTGTCTGGTGCTTTTCCAGATTGGTGGTTAGCCTATCTGGCTTGTACTCTAATTGCGTTGAACTAAATACATCTCACCAGATCTCCCTACTCATGAGTAATTCACTCGACTTAGCAGTGCGCAGTGCAGTGCTAAATGATTTGTTGGCAGATACTTTGGCGAACATTCCTCACCCGGCGCTTCCGTCGGATATGTAAAACATTCCGTAGGTCTATCTAGTCAGATACGACCAGTCACTTAATGTTTTCAGTAAGCGTTTACCACCCTTCATGTTGCACAGTAACACTAGCCGCACTGCGATATTATACGTTGTAATCTTGATTTGGAAATTGCTTCTCACGACTTACCTGTTTATTCCCGAGGCATTGAGAAGCCGCTCGGGTCGCACCTGCTAGTTCAGTATTCACCACACCAAATGGCTCTTATGATACATACATCGGCTGATCATAACTGCTTAATAGAAAGGGCTTCACATGTCCGTTTACCAACTGATCTAGCGCGTATTGTTCTCCAGTAATGCTCGCAAGCGGTCGTGACCTCACAGTGGCTTACTGACGTATCGTGAACTAGGCTTCAACTAAACTGAACAAGAGCTGCCTGTTTTGTGGGCATTGTCTTATTTGTGTGGATCCTAGAGTCGGTCACGTTAGTCATTCGGAGGCCTGCCCGAAATGCAGCAATCGCAACGTCAAAGACGTTATTTCACCCAACCGCTTGCTTTCTGTTTTCTTTTATAACCCAACACCTCTCATATTTATGTTGCTTCCTCGTTTTCCTTCTTCTTTTTTCCTGCTGTTTTCACACGTTATAGTAACGCGGGTGCGAGTAATTGGGGCCCGCTGCACTTCGGCGTTCAACCCATCGTTGATCGATTAAACCATATTAAAGCTATACCTAACCTCTGCAGTGATGACTATTTGCTCCTGTGTTACTGGCCTCATGTGCTAACTTTCCTTGGATGATACTAGTCAGCTAGGGCTTGCGGTACCTGCCGGGGGTACAGTTCTCTGCTTCCTCATAAGAGTTCATTAGTTATCGTGCGGAGCAAAAAGGCCTTAGGAATACGCCGGCACGCCGCACCGACGTTTCACTGTCGCGCGAGGGCTGGTTATACCGTAGATGTAACAGAAGTATATTGTAAAAGACACGTACAATGTGCAGCTTCTCAGAACTCAATGGACTCGACTTAAAAGTCAGCAACTTGATCAGCCAGCGTTGCACGATGTTCAACCGATCAGCGTAAGTCTAGGGTAGCGAATCACAACAGTCGCCAGCGTCTACGCAGATTCAAGCCCGTGACCGGATCACAACGCAGACGTGTAATCCTTCCGGCTAAGTAGGGCACTTTTTTACAACCATTTCCTTTTCTTTGAATACTTTGCCCCTGGTAAACAAGTTTTGATAGTGCGCTTTGCACTTTTGACATCCAGCCGCCCCTCATGTCCCTTGCTTACCCAACTCGTTTCATTTGGTCGTGCTCATAGAGTCGCTACCAGTGCAAATGCCACTTCTTGTTTTCTAATGCCTAGAAACAAACTGTGCATCTGTTTAAATGTAGTTCATTGCAGGTAACTCTCAATCAGGTGGGCTCGGCCATGTGTAGAATAGCACCAGACGACCGTTTCGACATTCTGGGTCTCAGCATTGGTGCGCCTTCCCCGGACCCTGCTGGGTTCCGAGCCCATGACTTTTGGATGCAAGCAGCTTGTACCACTGAGCCATGCGTGACGATGGCAGACATGCATAACTGACAGTTGACTACGATATAGCGCGACTCATCCTCTACTGCCGTCTCGTGCTTTTCAAGCCGTGTTTGAGCTTGTCTGAGAAGTGCCTGCGGTGCACTGAATCTAAATTACGGTTAAATCCCCACTACTCATGAGTAATCAAAACGTTCGTCTGCACAGCTTCTAGGTGCCATGTCGTCCACACCCGCTATGTGGACAGTCGTGACTGGGGCCGACCACTCCTCTGCACAGTTCGTGACTGGCATGACAGTGAGAGATTTCGTGCTATATCGTAGTCATGCAGGTCTTCGTTCGTCAACTCGTGTCTAAGTCCTCGGGTCGGAACGCAGCAAGGCCCGGGGAACGCGTACCACTAACGAGATCCACAAAACCGCAACGGCCTTCCGGTGCTTTTCAAATGTGTCTGAGCCTGCATGACAGAAGTGATTGCAATGAACGACATCTAAATTACGATTACATGTTCTACTCATAAGCAAACCGCACATTTTCCCCGTAACCGAAAGTCGCTGTCGTACTAAAATTCTTGGAATTTGCCTCAATTAATCATCTCATTTCTTTCTCTCCTCTGCTCCAAACACCGTCTTTTGCATTCTATCGCTAATAATTCGCAAATTACGCAACCAACCTTTTCAGCTGCCTGCAGTACTTCAACAACTAGCTGTAATCGGTCTTCACCTACTAGATGGTGAAATGCCAACCTGTAACTACGCTTCATTTAGTGCTATGGTTTCACTATTTCGGCATGAATTTTGCCGTTATTTCGGAGGTTTGGAATAAATTTTGGATTTGTATGGGCTTGTGCTGTGGCTACAATTCCTTCTTGGCGCATGAGCTTCTCCAGGTTTGGCCAAGAGTGAAACGTTGGCGTCTCAACGAATGCATATACAAAACCGAATTGTATTCTAAACATTACAATTTTTGTATCCATACTCGGTTCCAGGCTTATTCCGTGATATTAGATTGATTCGACGTTCGTTTGTCCACTCGTGGTTCCAAAGGTTGTTTCTGTGTCAAAGCGTTACCCACCATCCTTCCAACCCCTTTAAGTGCAGGTGACTAGCACAGTCTGTAAATTATCTTTAATAAATTTTTACCTACTCCATTATTGCGAGTAGTATTTTTAGATATCACGTGTCAGTTGCTGTCTACTCAATAGTGAGCACCTTTCCTCTTTCCATTACGTGCCCTTGTTCTATTCCTCTGACTAAAGTGCAGCCTTATTCTGGCAACCGACTTATCATTTTTGTGTCTACAGGTTCAAAACACGTGGTGACACCCACTTTTGTGG